AGTTCTTATGTTAACTTGCACAAAAATCAGGAAAAAAAGTATGTGTATTAGCAACAGTTGATGGTTTTGCCATTTTTTGTCTTTCTCTTTCTCAATGAAGATTAAATTTCACAACGTCAAAAAAGGATGAAATCAAATAAAAGAAATAGACAAGAGGCAATTCTTAGATGTGGATGACTGAAAACTTATATAAGCACCTGCAGAACACTTGTATCTGAGACTTCATAGAGTATTTAATAATTACTCTGATGACGTTATCAGTAAGGGGGAGGGGGGGGGGGCGGGAGCGGAGGGTCTCCGAAAAAATGAAAAGTGATGACATAGCGAGAAGGGGATCAAAAACTAAGAAAAAGCGAAGACATAATATGTGAACGGCATCTAGGAGCTGTTGGAAAATTATATGATCAGGTTTTAAATCATTTCGAATTTTTCTTCTTCTATTGAACTAAATTTCTCCTTAACTACAAGGTCAATATGCTAGAGAGTAACATTTTGGCGACGTATGCCCGTGAATTATCAACAACGGTATCGATTTCCCACCGACGATACACTATTGTGGGATTTTCATATAAATTAGACAAACTAGAGGCGAGCTTCATATATTCTCAATTGATTAAAGATATTATCATCAGTATAACACACGAAAAACGTGCTCAGGAAGGCTTAATCAATCCATTTCGTCCATATTATTATGACAATTTAGCTAGAGTACAACGAGTTGAACAGTTTGAGCGTCATTGCCTCCCTCGGGAAGCTATATGGTGGTACACCAAAGAGTCTTTTCTTTATGGAACGCTCAACAAAGCTCTATGAACACAGGACATTGATACTTTACACAAAATGCGTTCCTTTGTTGCGGATCTTCATCATCAATTGGAAGACTTGTGTGTACGGTCAAATTATAATTCACAATTCGATGTTTATCGTGGTCAATGTATGTCAAAGGAAGATTTTCAAAAATATTCTCATAACATAGGAGGGTTGATTTCGTTTAGCAGTCTGTTATCATGTAGTGAAGATAAACGTATAGCACTAGCATATGCTGTCAGTCAGAATGGAAACAATAACACTGCCAGTTTTACTTCAGATCACAGTCGATCCCATGTTCGCAATACCGCATTCGCGAACGTAACAAGCGCCAACGCCTTTGGCGACGGAGAGCAAGAGTTTCTATTTTCTATAGGTACTGTTTTTCGTATTCTCTGGATTCGACCGTTATATCTCGATAGTCTTATACAAGAATTCATTCTAATAGTGACTAACGATGAAGATAAAGATTTAAAAGACTTGAGAGAGCATATGAGACAAGAAATATGTGGAACAAATAATTTGATCAATTTTGACCGATTACTAATCGAAATGGGTAATTTAAATCAAAGTGAACGGTTCTACAACATTGTACTTCGAAAAACGAGTGCACAAGGTGAACCACGTACAATAGCTATGATCTATAATGACCTAGGATTTATTGCTGGTCAAAATAATTTCAAATAACAAGCATTGGTATTATACAAAAAAACATTGAGTATCGGTCAAGAATGATTTCCACTACGAGATTCTCAGCTATCGCCTATTTTAAACAACATTGGTGAAATTTATTTCGCTCTCAAAAATGTTGATAAGGCCGAAGAATATTATCAGCAAGCTCTTGAAATTGACTTAAATTCAACTCCTCTCCTAATAAATACAATCAAGCTATAAGTTATCATACCATTGGAATGATGTACAAAGAAAAAGGAAATTTCAGAAGTGCGCTAAAAAACTTCAAGTAATCTTTAAGCATAGAACAGTCAATGCTACCACCGACACATCCTTCAATAGTTATTTCGAACCGCTCTATAGGTGGCGTTTATCTTGTGCCAGACAATTTTACAGAAGCACTGAAACATTGTAAGACAGTCTTGGAGATTGAAACAAATTCATTACTACCGAATCATTTATCACTATTGATGAGGCACCGCTGTATTGCTATAATCTATTACGGCCAAGAAAAGTTTACGGCTGCCCAGAACAAGTTGATCAAAGCTCTTCATTTTGTGAGAAAGACGCCACCAGCGCCACATTCAAGCATAACCGAAATGAACAATGAAATGATTATGATTTCTAAAAAGGTATTTGGCATTTTGTAAGAAGTCGAATCAGTTTAATCATTAGTTCACATCAGTTATTTGTATTACCGGTTGGTTTTATCTTTATGTTCAGCAGGTCTCAAGCTTTTATATAACAACATGTTTTCTGTCAAAAAGCTATATTTGATGCTTTTTCAATAAGCAAGAAGAAACTTCATATAAATTCCTACAGAGTCAAAGCTACAGCCATATCAACACCCACAACCATCTGGAGCAAGAACGTCATGCGCTATAGACCAATCTTAAGAGCTATGCATTTCATGAGAATAAGAAAAAATTCTGTGTAAAAAAAAGGATACTTTCGAGTACCAATCACTTTCCAGATTGAATATTTTTCTCCTGGCAACAGGATCGACTTGTAAAATTATATCTAGTGCTGTTAATTACCATATTAATGAAACTCTTTCTCTCATGAATGGTTTTCTTGAGATTTCTGAAGAAGAAAGTGATGGGCTTTAGACAAAACTTGACGTCTGCACAGGTCAAGCATACGAAAAACAAAATTCGCCTAGAGCAGCTATTATACAAAATGGTCGTCTCTGGCAATACTATAAAGTTCTTTTGTATAAGCATGCGTTCAACAATACTTCTCAGAACATAATTCAGCAAACGATGAGAGATGATGGTTGGATCAAGTTTAGTGGAGGGATAAGCGAGTACTGGTGACAAGCCCTACTTGTTTATAAAGCTTCATACTATGTTTTCGGGATCGAAAAATCCGAATGTGTAATTGGTTTTTCAAAACTATGGACTTCATTTTTTTGTCAAGTTACGTCTGCTTCTGGAGACGTTTGATCAAAGTTTGTAAAGAATCGTTATTTTCGTAAAATTCTGCCTTTATTCGAAAAAAATTAAGTGTATAATTTCGAGCGACTAATTACAGATTCAGATTCCTTGATTCTGATTACCTTTGATCAAAGTTTATAAAAAAACGTTCTTTTTTTTTTTGAAAAACCTCTTTTTTAGTGAAAAAGTCTCTACTTTAACTTTAACTTTAAAGTAAAATTAAAGTGCCACTCCTACTCTCGATTTTACTCAAGATCTTGGCAGAAACAACAAAGAACTCCGCTTACAAGGGAACATATTTAAGTGTTCAAGCTGTCTAGGTCCCATCTTTCGGTATTAAGTACACCTCCATGAATTATGAAAAACTTAAAGAGGATTCACTCTCTCGCTCCTTTGTTCCTGAGATATCAAATTTTCAAGATATGTATATATGAAAACAGAAAATAAAACGAGAAATGATTGTTTCCTGAAGAGCAATCGAGCATTAAAGGGTGAGACTTTTCTCGGTTTTTTGCGCTGTTTGTCGAAGCTGTTCTGGATTAAGAGTTAGATCAAGTCTTACCGGAAGAACCTCTACTAATTTCTCATCAGTCCAGAGACTACTCAAAATCCTCCATTTTATTTCTGGTGCCATTTCAAACAACAAAAATGTTACTGCAGAAAAACAGTGAAAGTGATAGTCCGGCAAAAAATGAGTGAAATATAGTGGTTTGTAGCATCAACTGCAGAAAATGAAAGGTGATACATCGAAGGAAGACATGGCGCACATTATGATATCAAACGAAAAAGACACTTTGGTCACAGTTTTGAAGGATCTAGGGCGGTTGTCAGTGCAGTCACTGGCGTATTAAGCGTATTGAATCATCTGACGAAAGGATGGGTGTGTGTAAGTAAATGTGGATGGGTGTGGATGTATAAACTAGAGGACACCTAAACCCACACCCACGCACACATTCTACACTCACACCGCAAACCTATACCCATTCACTCGTCCACCCAAATCCACACCCGTACCCATTGCCTTTACTTGGCTTTTTTGGGCGGATAGGAAATTTTACAACATATATTTAATGTGAAGCTAGCTTCAAGATTATCATAAGATTCACCAGTCTACTATGGTTTACTAATAGCACGAATACTGTAGTGGAAAAAATTATCGATCATCCACCTATTTTGAACTTTATAAACAGCAATAACTAGAATCATAGACATTCATACTTGCTGAAGCATGCATTGTGTCTTTTACATACACATATCATGGTCTGTGAAATATGTGGGGGAGACGATATTCTTTTTCTTACTTCTTTCTTCTCTGACCCAGGTCAAAGAAATACGGGCCGTTTCCTGTTAGAATACTCGGGAAAATTGGAGGATTTTGGGAGCAAGAATCCAGTGTCTGAATTCTTTCAGTTTCAGCCTGAAACGACCGTAACCAGGCAAATACAACCGCCGAGCTCGATCATCGGATTTTTGCTTCCAAGTTGCTGCCATTTCCCTGAGTATTGCGGCAGAAAACAGTGTATTCTCCTGTGTATTTCCGTCTAAAGTTCACGGATAGGGAGGTGGAAATCACTGTCCTAGGAACCATATCTTATTCTCAATGTATGTTTCGTGCACAGTAACATGGACTCTCCGCTGCTGAAAATACAAGGTATGCAACTATTTGGTACAAAAAAGATGTGACCACTCACGAAGATCACTCCATAATGAAAAAGGAAGGTATATATCGATTAACTACGGGATATCCAAAACAGTGACCGGTGATGATGGAGAGGCAGTCAATAGTCATGATGACATCATCAACAGCTATATGAAATCATTTCTTTCTTAGATAGAAAGAATGCTAAGTGCACGATTCTTTTTTGTTTTATAAAGTGATCTTCGTGAGTGGTCACATCTTTTTTGTACCA